TTCTTAATCGTTATCTGACTGTGAAATTAATCTCCATCACTTAATGGTAGCTGAGCGGCAGCTGAATTAACCCACTTTCCAAAGAGCCCATCAGCTCTGTGCAGCCCGTCCCCTGGGCTCCCAGGGCTGAGATCTGTGTTTTCTGCCTTAGCCCATTTCCCAAGCAGCGAGCCTCAGCAGTGTGCCAGGTGTGGGGCTGGCTGCTCAGGACATAGTTTGCAGATCATACAGACCCGAAGCAAAGTGCTGGTTCTGGAGTCGCCAGGCATTTTTGCGTGATGCAGTGTAGTATCACCATGGGGAGACCCACTATTAGGAGCTATGATACTGTGCACGGCCTTGATTATCCCAGGCCCAATTACCTGATTCTCCAGGCTACCCGAAATGGGGCCGTGTCCCCCAACATCTGTTAATTGCACCCAGGATACCCTCTGCTCTATGGATGCATCCCAAGCTCTGGCTGTGCTGGGTGTTTTGAGCTATGGTGATGGCTCTACCCAGCTGCTGCATTCCTTTTATCTCACCCTCTGGGGCAGAAAACATTATATGTATATATAACGTATATATATATTCTGCAAGTGCCACCATAGAGAGAAACACTCTTTTTTTTTTCTCCCCCAGAAGTCCCCAATAATTAGAAAAATTAACAAGGACAATTCTGGGAAGTCTTTGAAACCTGGTGCGTAGAATAGTGTTTCCAACGTGATGAATTTCCCTTGGTTTTAAAGCAATAACTCAATGGTAAGGTTTTTAATTAGCCATTAAATATTGCATTGGGAGTACCACCAGAGGTGCTGAGCTGCTGCGGAATGCGGTCAGATCATTTACGTGGCAGAGGAAGCAATGCAGGAACGCAGGAATGCACCGTGATCAACCCACCTACCTGAGGCTGTGCGTTTTGTTTAACGTAAAACCAGTTTCGGTGTGTTTGGTTTTTATTTGGCAACAGGTGGGGAGAAGGTTGTTGTAAGCGTGTAAATGCTTTAAAACCATAGAGACACTACTCTGAAGGGTTAAACGGCTGACTCTGTAATGGATGGACGTTGTTTGTCCGTCAGTCGGTATTTGGTACGACCTGCATGCAGCTGACAAAATCCAACCAGGCCAACACAACCAGGCTAACCCCATCCATAACTTTTGCTTCCTGCTTTTCAGCTGGGTGCGAGCTGTAAAACCCCCCTGTGCATCACTGCATCACCAAGGATGGTGTAAATTCAGGGGCCTTGAAAGCTCAGCAGCTCTATTTCCATCATCATTTGGGCTGTGCGTTGCAGCTTTTAGTCTAGAGAAGAAAACTGCTTTTCTCTTGGCTGTTGTGTGGAGCCTCAGCCCTTCTTGTGCTGCTTTCCCGTTTTGTCAGTGCAGCAAGAGAGAATGCCTGTAGCACCCACAGAGGTGTGAAGGGACTCATTCATCTGTGTGGGGAGTGTGAGGTGCCAGGCAGATTTCTGAGGATTGAAATAGCGTCATTTAAACCGGTACACCCGATGTCAGCCTTTAATTGGGGCTTGGGAAGACGAGCTGAGGAATGCCTGCAGCATCCCTGCCCATGGCTGCATCCCTGCCCATGGCTGCATCCCTGCCCATGGCTGCATCCCTGCCCATGGCTGCATCCCCACCTGCAGGGCTCTGGAGGGGACCAACGTGAGGCAGAGTGGTGGCAGTGGCTCACTGTGCTGCCATGGAGCGCTGGAGGATTCGGCTTCTCCTCAGTCATGATCAGGTGCCATGTTTCCAGTCCCTGCTGGTTTGGGGTGGTGCGAGGCTGGCGCTGCAGAAGAGGGAGGGGAGAGGTCATCTCTTAAAAACACAGAACTGGATTTTATATGTTTATAGCTATGTTTTGTTTCTTTTACAGAACTATAATCCTTGCGCTTAGAGTGATCTGAAAGGAACAGAAGTACTTAGCCTTGAACTTTTGTTCTGCCTCTGCTTCTTGTGCCTCTGAGGTACAAAACATACCTGTAAACTTATAATCCATCCAGCTGCAGTTCACGGGCTAAAAAAAGAAACCCAAAAAGGGTTTGTGTTCAGTAGGGAGGCACTTGGGATGGGCAAACCAGAAAGTTGCCGTTGGCAATTGGCAGGTTTTTGGGGGCCAGCATTGCAGATAGGTTAGTGTGAAACAGCTCATTCCTTTCTCCCTCTCTTTCTTCCCCTTCTACCTTCAAACATACGCTCCTGAGTCACAGGCTGGGTGGCCGCAGAGCTTTAAAGGGGAGAGAGAGCACACCACGAGCTGGCTCCGTGGGGTGAGCAGCACACCATGGGATGAAATCCGGAGAGCACGTGGCATTTCCCCCATGTAAATCCCATACCAGTGCTGGGGGTGTCCCCAGAATGCAAGCCCCCAGCCCCACCACCATGGCCATATGCTCTTTGCTGGCAGTCCTGGGTCCCCCCAGCAGCAGTCAGGGAGGGCTGGCTCTCAGCCCCGCAAACCGCCGGTGCCACAAAGCAAACAAATGTATTGCAGCACGCAGCTATGCAAATAGCTTCAGAGCACAGCACGTTTTCCCCAGCGTTAATTGCTACACCACGATGGTTGCGTGGCAACAGCTCTGTGTGTCTCGCTGACAGCTACTGCCCCTTGATTCCTCTGACACCTTCTGTGACAGGCAGAAAGGAAGAGAGGGAGAGGAGAGCTGGGAGGGCAGCGGGGGATCGGGTGGCAGGGTGTTGGTGGGACAGCAGGGTGCCTTCTGCTGGCAGGGGGAGGTGGCAGCCTGGCTCTGGGTGGGTGAGTGACTCGGCTGGAGGCACAAAGGGTGGGTGCCCCAGGAGCTGCCAACAAGCTGATCATGGGGCTGGGCTGGAGGCTTCTGCAGGTGTTGGGCAGGATGACATGTTCCTCATAGGCAGCCCAGCTCAGGGAGAGCTGTGCTGGGGGGAGGCTGCAGAGGGCTCCCTGTGTGTCCCCTGAGCCCTATCTCTTCTGTCTCCCAAAGCCACATTCCCAATCCCCACCCTCTGTGGTTCTTCCATCCCGCTGCACCTCTGTGCAGGACAGAGGGGACCATTGGTGTCCAATGCATCCCCCTGGCAGGCACTGCAGGGCTATGCTCAGCCCTCTGATTCTCAGAATAAGGAGGTGCCCATCTGGAGGTAGGCTGAGGAGGGGGCAGATGGGTTCAGAATTAGGAATTGTGGTCCATCTTTGGGTCTCGGTGATGTGAAAGCAGAGAACCCTGCAGTTATGTGACTATAGGCACAGGTGAATGGTGGCATTGAGGGCGAGATGGGTCTTCTGAGGACAAAGGACATTGAGTCTCAGTGGAGTTATCTCCTTTATCAACCAGGAAAATGATCTATATCTGTTTTTTAAATTTACAGCTTAGCAAGCTGTGTATGTGTAGGATTAACTCTTTAGAGCACGGTAGGGCATAGAGCGGCAGTGAGAGCCGTGGTGTCAGCCAGACGTCAGAGGAAAAGAGGTGAGAGCATGGGGAGATGCACCCGAGGCCCTGGGTGCCAATGGTGCTGGGCAGGACATGGCACATCCCAGCTCTCTGGGGCCCATGTGCCTGGTCAGAGCCACAAAACCAGCACTGCCCCAGCCTGCTGCAGGACTGGGGAGGGTGCTCCCAGAGCAGGGATGTTGCTGACAACCGGGAGCCCCCTCCCCAGTGAGGGATCTTGGCCCCTCTGCCCGCCTTCACCTCTCACTACCCACTGCTGCAGGCTCTCCCTTGGCACCACAAGCAGCCAGGTTAAGGACGAAGTGTTCTGTTTGGCCTTCATTTCCCCGTCCCGTGGCATCCCAATCCCAGTGAGGTGGCGGGGGGAGGCAGAGAGGCTGCAGTGATAAATGCAGGAAGATGGCTGCCACTGCGCAGAGCTGGGCTTCCAGGCAGGTAAGGGGAGACCTCTGCCCAAAGGAAGGGGCTGTGCAGTGCCCTCCTCTCCTTCCTGGTGGTAGGAGAAAGGTGTCGCCCCATTGTTACCCGCAGGGCGAGGGGAGGAGCTGAGCCATGCAGGAATCCTCTCTGGGACAACCTTTCCATGCAGGGCTCTGGAAAAGAGCCAGGCTGTACCTGAGCGCTTTCATTTCTGTTCACCCTGGGTAGAACTGGCTGGGGCTGCTGCAGGGTGTTCAGCTGAAGGCAGCGGGCTTGGTGGTGGCCACACAGCGTGCTCTGGGGTGCTGGGGGTGCATTTGCCAAGTGTAACCTGCTCAGCCATTCCAGGAGGTGTTGGGAAAACATTCTCTAAGAAACCGAGCTTGGAATTTAGGCACACTGGGACACACAGGGTTGGCTATTGGATGCTTGGAGCAGCATTTCTGGGAGAAGTGGCTGAACTCACAGGGCCAGAGTAGCCTGTGGGACGCTTCCACTTGCTGAGTTTGGGAGCAGAGCCCAAGAGCCAGCACTTCCCCAAAAACTTCCTCCAAGTGCCACCCAGCAGTTGGAAGGAATGACTTGTGGCACTTCCCCGTGCAGGAGCTGTGAGTCATGCCAGGAGGGGAGCAGGGAGCAGCCTGCCCTCCTGGGGAACAACCCGGAGGTTGTTCCACAGCTCTGCAGCTGTGCTGGTGGGGTCCTGTGTGGGGCCAGTACTGAGCCCCCACTGCGGGAGTGATGGGGATGGGGCAGGATCTGTGTGTGCTGCTGCTGGGAGCAGGCATGGTTTTGGCACCACGCTCCTGACAAGTTCATGCAAACACTGCGTAATTATCCCTTAGCCTCCCCACCGATGCATTCTAATTAATTGCTTCTGCTGAGCAGAGAAATGATAACCGCCTTGCTTAAGAGGTAGCTCGTGGCTGCAATCCTGTAGACAATGGTGCCCACCTTCCTGGGTGAGCACTGCAGGTGGGCAGAGTGAATTTACCAAATGGCAGTAAACCGAAGCACAGAGCAAATGGCAGGGCACAGCAGCACGGAAGGGTGTCCAGTGAGTGATGGGTCCAAGTGGGAGGAGAAGGGTGTTCCAGTTCTGCAGCATAAACTTTTGTTCCCAAGACGTGTTACTGACTGCTTTTCTCTTTGTCTCTCTAGTGAGGATGCAGCAGAGGCAGTAGCAATAGACTCTAACAATCAGCCCAAGTCTCCACTGGAAAAGTTTATGGTCAGACTGTGTACACACCACCAGAAGCAGTTCATCCGCGTGCTAAACGACATATACACTGAAGTACAACCGGACTGTGAAGGCCAGCAGTCATCTGAATCCGAAAGCATGGAGACCTCCACTTGTGGCTCAGCTTGTAGCCAGCAAAGCACTGAAAACCAGGATAAGGGTGCTACGTGTACTGACCCAAGGCCCCTTTCTTCCTTGGAGCCCGGACAGCCAGGCACTGACAGCACAGGCCAGCCTGCAGAGCTGAAGCCCGTGGACAGGGCAGAGAGCTCCAGCCCTGCTTTGAGGAGAGACTTCCTTGACCCCCCCAGCACGCGGCTGCGCTCCGCCAGCCCAAAGGACAGCTCCACTCAAGGATACCTCAGCACGTTGAACTCTTCCTCGTTGAATTTCCACCATGCCACAAAAAGCCTGGAGGGGCAAGCTGCTGGCCACGAACAAGATGCCGGCGTCAGAAGGTGTGAGGACAGCAAAGAGCAGGGAGCAGGTAAGGCGCTAGTGGAAGGCTACATCTCTGTCAAAGTGGCCAACGTGAACGGCAGTGAGGAGGGCCTGGACAGCTGTCTGGGCTCCCAGAAGAGCTCTTTCAGGGCTCTGCCGGAGGAACCCTGGGACCCTGGCTTTGCAGTCAGCTCTCCTCGCCGTGCGGACAAAGAGAATGCGTTACAGTGTGGCTCAAAAGCATCTTTGCACCAGGACCTCGATGTGAAAGAACAAGACACAAGACCAAAGCAAGACAACCACCTGCACGCTGTGGCCAAGGGCAAGGTAGGCTGCCACCTGCACCCGGCCGACAAGGGCCCACTTGACAAATCCAAAGAGGGCTGGCTGCCCACCGGCACCGCACCAACCTCCCAGCGTGCCCCTGCAGGGCACCCCCGTGCCAAGACAGCCTCCCTTCGGCCCTCCCGTAAGAGCAAAAAGGCCTCGGGGCTGCGGATTAATGACTACGACAACCAGTGCGACGTGGTCTACATCAGCCAGCCCATCACTGAGTGCCACTTTGAGAGCCAGCGCGCCGTGTCATCCCGCAGGACAGCACGGAAGAGCACGCGGGGGTATTTCTTCAATGGGGAGTGCTGTGAGCTGCCCACTGTCCGCACGCTGGTGAAAAGCTCGCGGGCAGAAGAGCGGGGCGGCAGTGCGGCGCAGCGGACGCAGGCGCTTGTAAGCACAAAGCCGACTCTGATGCTTTCGGGGGGCAGCTCCACGGGGGCAGGACGGGATGGGGAGAAAAGGGTTTCACTCCGGCTGCTGGCCAAAGCCACGCCAGCCGGCAGAGAGACGAAAGGCAGGGGTGAGCTGGGCTCCCTGCAGCGGGAGCTGCGGGACATGCGGGTGCTGCGGTCACGGGAGGCCTCTGCAGCTGTGCCCCTGTTCTCACTCTCGGCACCGCCCAGCCCTCAGATGGAGGACAGCACGGCTGGCTCTCCACCCCCAGGTTCCCCTTGTAGCCAAGGGGCTGGTGGCTTGGCTGCCCCGGAGGTTGGTGCGGCTCCCTCTGGGGATAGCAGCCCCAAGGACAGTGATGCTGTGCCAGCTGCAGGCTGTGCTGCCCTTCCCGCCTCTGAAGCAGCCATCGGGGAGAAAGGTTCCCCAGATGTGGGTGTGCAAACTACTCCAGACCTCCCCGCCAGCCCAGAGCCAGGGTCCCCCATGCAGCTCTGCCCTGCTTTGGATGCGGCACCTGAGGCTGACACCAGGGACCATGCAGTGCTCCCAGGCGCCAGCAGCACAGAGCCCTGTGGTGTGCATCCCGCAGAACCCTCTCCACTCTCTCCAGAGCTGCAGGCTCCTGAGCAGCCCCCTGCCACCGACAGCAGGAATTGTCCACCAGAGCCCCCTGCCACCTTGCAGAGCATGGAGGTGAACAAAAGCATTGATACTTTGCCAGATGTCGAACTATCAGTTGTACCAGGTGACACCTCCCTTGAGCAAGAGGAGGCTGCACCAGCCAGCATAGCTCTACCTGTGGACTCGGAAGGCGAGGCAGAGCAGAACAACAGCCTGGCAGGTGAAAAGGAGCCTGCTGAAGAGGAAACACTGCCTGAACCCGATAGCTTGGAAACAGCAGAGAAAGACTCCATCTCTTCCAAAGACAGCCTAGACAAGAAGCGAAAGAAAGGAAGGAGAGCGCTTGTGGCATCTGACCGGCGTCTCCGAAGCCAGCAATCTCAACCACCTACTGAGGGCAGCACTGAGAACGCTGGTTCTTCCAGCCCCGTGCACCTTCCTGGCCTTCAGATCAAAGCCTCCAAGAGTCCTGGTGCTAAGCGGTTCAAGAAAGAAGGGAACCTGGATGGGACAACACCCACACACTTCCCAAATGACTGCTTCCATAGTGCACTGCTCCAACACAACGAGGGGCTAAGCACCGGGCAGACTCCAGAAAGCACTGCTGAGGAGAACGGTGTCACCACCAGGCAGACCTATAAAAGCATCTTAGCAAAAGAAACTGCATCCGAGGGAGAAAATTCCCATAAAGACAACCCCACTGCTACAGGTGGCCAAAGTCAACCAGGTGAGATGCTGGACATGTGTGTGCAGACTGATGCTGAGAAGAAAAGCATCCTCCTCCCAGCAGAAAGCAGTGCGCCTGCAGGCAGTGTGCAAGCAGAGGTGAAGCTGGGCGATGCTTGTGCAAAGGAGGAGAGCTCTGACAGTGCCATAGACACAGGGAAGCTGGAGCACTATGAGCCAGTGTGCAGCCAATCTCCGTGTCCCACCAGCAGAGGTGGAGGAAGCAAGCATCTCCCAGCAAAGGCTGCCAAGCACAAAAAGGTCACCCTGCAGTTTTACAACTTAAGACACACACCTGCAACAGCTGATACTGCAAAAAAGAGCTTGCCAGGGAAGGAGTCTATGCAGGCTGTCCCTAAAGCGAGGGACGAGTGCAGTTTGGGGAATGATGATGCCCTGGCGCTGGAGGATATGGATGCAGAAGACAGCAAGCCAAGGTTCATGGAGTGGTGCGCTGAGGAGGAGAACCAAGAGCTGATTGCTGAGTTCAACGCCCAGTACATGAAGGTGCAGAAAGGCTGGATCCAGCTGGAGAGGGAGGTGCAGCCAGCCCCCAAAGTGAAGAACAAAGCCGACAAGCTGAAGGAGATCTGGAAAAGCAAGAAAAGGACACGGAAAAGCAGAGGGGCACTGGAGGTTCAGAAACTGTCTCCTGTCCAGATGCTGTTCATGAAGGCCTACAAGCTGTCCGACATCTGCCAGTGGTTCCTGGAGACCACCGAGACCCGCTCGCTGGTGATCGTGAAGAAACTCAACACGCGTCTCCCAGGGGAGATCCCCCCCATCAAGGTGCCCATGCAGAAGTACTCCTCCTCTGGCCTCTACCCCAGCTCACTGCAGGCTGAGCGCTTGAAAAAGCACCTGAAGAAATTCGCCGCGACCACACCAGCCCGCAACAACCTGAAAAACCAAAAGCTGTGGGCCAAGATCCGCGAGAATGCCGACAAAGCTGAGGCCGAAGAGGGCAACGTGGCCGGCCAGCCTCCTCCACCTGAAGCCAGCCCCGAGGAGCTGAGCCAGGAGCGGGGTGCACAGCCCACCCCCAGCCTGCCCACCCAGGCCAGCACCCGCATCCTGCGCAAGTACTCCCAGCTGAGGGGCAAGCTGCGGGCCCAGCACCGTGCCACCCGCACCGAGCGGCGCGGCGACATGCCCGGCGAGCAGCCGGGCCCCGAGGGCAAGGCCAGCCGCAAGAGCCTGTGCATCAACCCGCTCATGTCCCCCAAGCTGGCCCTGCAGATCAAGGCGGATGCCTTCCCCACTAAATCTCCCTCGGCAGATGGAGCGGGGAAAGGGCGGAAAGGGAAGAGTAAAGGCCAGGAGGAGCCCTCGCCCAGGGCTGAGCAGCTCAGCAGAAAGAAGAGGACTCTCAAGGAGAGCGAGGCCACGCAGGAGCGGGCTGGCTCCTCAGGGAAGGACAAGGTGCCAGCCAAGAAGGCTGGGAAAATAAAGCATTCAGAGGCAGGTACCAGGGCCCCCGCCACCCGCAAGCAGGTGGAGAGGAGCAGCAAGCTGGCCAAGAAGATGTCTTCAAAAGAGAAGAGAGCCCCGAAAAGGCAGCCAGAGAAAGTGCGGCTGCCGGTGCGGAAGGGCAAGGAGAACACCAGCCGCCGTGCCGCACCGCCGCCCGGCCACGAGGAGCTGGGCCCGTCCGCGCGGCACAGACCGCTGGGCGAGTCCTCGACGCGGGCGCAGAAGATGGCCAACAAGAAGGCGGGTGGGGGGAAGGCCCTGCCCAGGGCTGTGAGGAGGGGGCAGGAAGGCAGCAGTTCGCAGGGCAAGAGGAAGCTGCGGGCGAAGGGAGATTGCTCGCACAGCAAGCGCTCGCGGCTGGATGCCAAGTAGCAACGCAGCGGTAGCCATGTACAGAACTCTTGTATAGTAGTAACCCTTACCATGCATTAACTAAAGCTGCTTTTATAAGCTGTAGCAAGCCTTTAAAATCCGCAGTTACAGGATCACGCACGTGATGTTAGGCATCGGAAGCTGTGTCTGAGGCGGAGAAGAGGTCAGCCTGTCTGGCTCTGCTGTTCCGAAGGAAGCGTTTGCAGTTCCGATGGTCCTGGGGCTTTTGAACTCAGAACCAGGCAGTTTTAGTTAAAAGTACAGTGCCTTATTTATCACTTTAAAAATAAAATTAAGAAGCTCGTCTGTGTGATTTGGAGGCTTGCGTTTTATACTTGAGGCACAAGCACTTGTACTGTAGCAGAAAGAAAACCACCTTTGTGCACATGAAGTAGCTTTCGGCAGCCTTTCGGTGCACGCCAGCATTTCCCTTCCCTTCAGTGCCCTTCTGTCTGTCTGTGAGTGGCATTTCAAGCAAACCCAAACCCCTTTGCCATCGGTGAGGGAGACGAAGGTGGATGGGACACGTGTCGGTTCTCCTGCAGCTGCCGGTGGCTCTCCAGGTACCCACACATGGATGTCACCCTGCGGCTCTGCCCCTACGCCTGTCCCTTTGCACGGCTGCAGCTGATTTTCCCTATAGTTTGCATTCACTTTTGTACAAACACGCACCTTGCTGCGTGCAGGAATCCCCTTGTGAGCGTCCGGTGCAGGAAGCAGCGAGGCTTTGGTTTGAAAACTTTCCCTCCCCTTTGAATCATGCGAAAGTGAGCTCTTTGAGCAGCAACAAAGTGATTAAATCTAGCCTGTCAGACCCTGTACAGATTAATATGGAGTTATCTATGATTTTAATTTTTACTGCATGTATTAAAGATGTCAAACATTCCATCAGGAAAGATTTAAAGGCATTTCAGGAGAGGCACCGGTGGCAGCCATAGCACTGCTCTGTACCTTCCCCACGGGTCCTCTCTCCGCCTGCGCCTGCCTTTCCCTCCCCTTGGGCTGGGGTAGAAATGCAGGACCCCCTCCCCACATTCTGCATTTAATTTCTCTTTGACTTCTGGGGGCTGTCCCTTGCTGCCCCATGTTGGGATGGCAGCTCCAGATGTTGCTCCCCAGAGTTGTGCTGCAGCCTTAGCACGTGTCGGATGGGATGCTGGGCATCCCATGGCATGGGAGGAATATGAGTTGTCAGGCTGAAAGCTGAGAGCAGGCCAGGTGATGGGGTGCTTGGCAAGGCAGCAGAGTGCTCTTCTGTTTTATTTAACAGTGACAGCTTTGGTCTTCAGAAAGGGCTTTGTCTTTGATGGGTAGAGTGCGGCTGCCACCTGTGGCCGAGTGACTGCAGCCAGCACTTGGGCATGGCCCTGCCCAGGTCAGGATGGGCACAGAGGTGCTCTCTGCATCGTAGGTCGGCCAGGAATGCTCTCATGTCCAGAAAACCAGGGCGGCTTCCTGCTGGGCGGCATCTCCAGCTCTGTGCTGCCCCTCAAGAGGTGCCATCTCCTCCTCATCTCCTGTGCGTGTTCTCATGCTGACACCAGTTGTAGCTCCTGGATCTTGCAGCCGATGAGACGTGCTTTCACCATGTGCTTTGTGCTTGTGAGTGCTGTGTTTTGGGAAAGGACGGAGGGGCATTTTAATTTGCTGACAAATGAAGGGATCTGCATGTGAGGTGGCCAAGTGGCAGGGTGGCATCGCCACCATTTCTTCATCGGTGCCCAGATTTGATTTTCTTCTCCCTCTCTTCCAGGCAGTGTTGCGTTGCTCTGTTCCCCGCTTACTCCCCGATGTCCTCCCTCCAGCCCTAGTGCTGTGCCCCCAGTGCCCCCCGATCACAGCAGTGCCGGCTGCTGCTGCCACCGCCACCCCTTCAGCTTTCCTTGTTGGCTGACTTCTCATCCTACTCTCGGAGTTTTCCTCCACCCCCGCTCCCTGCTCCGCGTATCATAGCGTCCGTTCCGCCCATCCCTTCGCTTGGTGGTTGTGAAATGAATCCATCTGTTCTAAGATGTTCTCAGGAGTTTGTATTAAGATCACCCCTAGGCTTAGCGGAATCACGGTTCTCCCCCGGCCCCCCGCCCCCTCGACCCCCCCCTGGTTTGAGAGCACTTCCACCGGGCCGCGGGCAGCTGGCGTTTGATTCAGGGCACGTTGGCAGCTGTGGGATGGCCACAGAGGGCACCGTGGTGGCCATTGTGGTGTCACCTGGCCCGCCAGGCCACCTCGCTAGCCAATGTTTTCTAAGTCTGTTTGTAAGAGTACCTAATTTTAAAATGAAATGTGAATATATATTATGTGTAGGTGCCATGTAAGATAGTGTTGTGCTAGGCGGCAGGATGCTAACCTACTTTTTAAGCTTTTCGGGCAGGTAAAGACATTTTTTTTTCTCTCTCTCTCAATTCTCACGGATTTAATATTGTAAATAGTCGGGTTTTTTATATTTATTTTGTGGGCTTTCTGTAGGTTCTTGTTCCGACTGGCGGTCGCTGTGGCTGCCTGATGGCGCAGGGGGACAGGGCAGCTGCCGGGTCCCGTCCCATCGGTGTCCAAGCATTAACTCTTCATCTCATTTCTGATGATGTCAGAGGGTGAGCGGGAGCTGGGAGGGGGGGGGGGGGGTCTCCATGGTGGGGGCACTGCCAGCAATAAGATTTTAGTAATAATGTCTTCTTGGGTGACGGGGGCTCAGCCCAGTGCGGGGTGTGGGTCTTGAGGAGCTGCCCCAGGGCCGTTCCAAGCGGCTGCTCTGACCCCAAGGTGCCCGCGAAGCAAGGCAGAAGGGCAGCTGTCCACAGCCAAGCTGGCCCCATAAGGTCACTGCCTCTTTGCTTGCCCTTCTGCCATGTTTATTGGAGGGTTTGAGGTCGGTTGCCTGTTTGTGTGTGTTTTTCCTACGTGTGTGTGGTTTTTTTCTGGCTGTTTTTAACCCCGTTTTGCTGCACCCATCCCATAATGGGATCAGCCCTGCTGTTTGGTGACAGGTCCCTCATTTCAGAGCATGGGATGGGAGTGAGACAAAGGGGCTCACGAGAGCCTTTCGCCTTTGGAACTGTAGTGTGAAAAAAAAGAAAGGAAAAAAAAAAAAAAGAAAGAAAAGCACCAACCCAACCAACCCAATATGTTTCTTTTCGTTCTTTCCAAGATGCTCAATGTTTGAATCTTAGTTCCGCCCCGATAGCAAATGCTTTCCCTTCCTCTGTGTCCACTTCCCTGGAAGGAGTTTTGTCGCTCTGTTCGTTTCTCTAGGATGAACTTTAGACACTGATCCGAACGGCCCTCCTGTCCGGTACTGTATGTCAGAGCCTGACCAATGTGAAATGTCAGAACGGTGTGCAGGGAGCGCGGCCGCTCGCTCGGCTCCGTGCTGGGGGAAAGCAAAACGTCTGCTGTGAATCCTCGGTCGGAAAGGTGCAGAGGGGTTTCCATTAGATGATGTTTACATACCTCACCTGACGAACCTTTGAACGTGTATATAAAAAATGAAATAAAGTTATATTAAGTTGCTTTAAATCGATATGTATAGCTATAAGAGCTGGGTCATTTGAACTTTGGCTGTGTATCGACTCTCTCAATGTTGACATTTTGTGAACTCTGTGCTCCTGTCGTTTAGACTCTCAAGGAAGCTGTGTTCTTGTTCCAGGTAAAGCTCCCTGACTCAGATCTGAGCTCCTCACGGACTCCCACCGCCTTGTTTTCTTTTCTCCCTCTGTTGTTGATATTCACCCGATGATGAGCTTTCTAAAGGTCCGTATTTTATTGCAGCTTATTAAACGTTTCTTTGATATCAGAGCCGCTTTGCTGTGATAAATGGGGGGAGGGTGGGGGCGTGGATGGCACACGCGGGCCACAGCGATGGGGCACAACCTCCCCCCAGCAGCACTGGGTCCCCCCATTGCCCACGCCATCCCCACCCTGTGCCCCCTCCGCATGTCCCCATAAAGACAATGCCGGGCCTCTGAATGAATCAATGTCATGTTCACGTGGAGGACAACATAGACAATACCGAACATCTCCTAAAACAACACAGCCTCTGCCGGCGGAGGGTGCCCTCCCCAGCCCAGTGCAAACCGGCAGCTGCAACAGTGACACACACACACACCGCGCGGGCCAGACAAAGCCACCGTCATGTTCCTGCCCAGTAGCATCTGTAAACAAAAAGAAAACAGCGTTTGTTGACCCCGAACATAGAAAAATACTATAACAAAATGAAATACAAATATATATTAGAATCTGTAAGTATTCTGTATAAAGAGATACTTTAGCGGTTAGCTTACAGCAAGAACAGAAACACAACACAACTGAGCCCCGGCCGGGGGCTGAAGGAGAGCATCCCGCCGTGCCGTGCAGCACAGGGTGCTGGTGGCAGAGATGTCCCCATGACGGTGGCGTGTCCTGGGTGCGTGGGGACAGCGATGGCACCCACCAGTGGGCTGCACCCAGCGGGACGCGGCAAAGCTGTGGTGTGATGTGATGGGAGAGCTGCAGCCACAGCCCTGGGGGTGACACGGTGATTTGCCCCAGGTTGGCCCCTCACCCTCGGTCCTGGGTTGCCAATGGCCGGCACAAGGCGTGGTGCCCCTGCTGCCCTGCCAGCATGTCCCCCGGCACAGCGGTGTGGCGAGGCTGCAGCCCAACAGCTCGGACCTGCTGGGACCTGTGCTGGACGCTGTGTTGCCTCCGGGATCTCCAGCTTCAGCTGCCTCAGCATCCACAGGGCTGACAACATCACAGACCTGTGCCCCAGCAGCCATCTAAGGGACATCCTCTGGGGGGTTCCAGCACAACCACCCCCTGCACACAGCCCAGCAGGGAGAGGGGCCCCATCCCTGTGCGCAGGGCAGGGCTGGCTCTGCATGGTGAGGCCGCTCCTGGCTCCATCCTGTTTGACCCAACATGTCCACAGTGCCGCTGAGCTGGCACCGTACACTGGCCACAGGGGCTGCTGCAGTGGGGCCAGGGCCATTTGGGAAGGGGGACTTAGGGGTGCTGGGAACTAGGGGTGCCAGCATGGAGCTCAGCCTCCCTGGCAGCCATGGCACGCAAAGCACTGCAGTGCCAGGTCCAGCACAGGGTGTTGGGAAGGTCCCAGCTGGATGTGGGGCTGCTTGGGGGACACACAGAGAGGGCACACGTTCCCCTCAGCGATGAAGAAGGCAGAGATGAAGGGAGAGCAGGCGGAGGGGCAGAGCAGCTCCCACATGAGACACACTTGTGTAGCTGCAAGTTCTTAAAAAAATCCTCTATCTACACACTTGTTTTGTGGGTTTTTTTTTCCTTTTTTTTTCTTTTTTTTTTCTTTTTTTTTCTTTTTTGTTTTCCATCCCTCTAGATGCAACACATCTATCCTCCTCCAGCCCCGACGGGCTCCTCCGAGTGGTGGGAACTGCGCTGGGCTTTGGCAACATCCCGGCCCCTGGCTGCAGGGCAGAGCGAGCTCCCGGTGCCGGCGGCTCCTCACTGCCCCCCCGCTGTCCGCAGCAGCCCCCGCACCCCGGCGCTCAGAGGCACGGGCTGCAGCCGCACTTGCTGGGCTTCTCCACCTCCTCCACGAAGGTCGCGCCGTTGCTGCACTCGAAGGCGTATTTCCTGCGCCGCGGCCGCAGCCCGATGCAGCAGCCGGCGTCGGTGTCACCGCCGCACGTTCCCCGGCACTGCACGGAGGGCACCGGCCGCGTGGTCTGGCAGATGGCGTAGCCCCTCTGCACCTGGTGGTAGTCCCGCACCGGCTCCCCGCGGCACTCGGGCTCTGTGGTCAGCGAGGATCAGAGTGCGGTCGTCCCAGCGCTGCTGCCCCGAACCCACCGCCCTGCTGCCTACCTTGGTCGCAGAGGGCGCCGCTGTAGCCGCTGTGACACTCGCATACGGGCTGGCCGCTCGGGGTGAGGCGGCAGCGGCCGTGGTGGCAGAGCAGGAGACGGCAGGGGTCGGGCGGTGTGCTGGGCTGGTTGCACAGGGCACCCTGGTAGCCCTGGTGGCACTGGCAGCTGTAGGAGAGGGCGTCGAGGGGCAGGCAGAGCCCGTGCACACACCTGTGGGCAGCCACGGCCATCAGGTGTCTGACACAGGGCATAGCAGTGCCTGCACCGTGGTGTACCAGCACCAGCTGCTATGGCATGACACGTGTAGGTGAGGCACAGTGTGGCTAAGGCATGGCATAGGTAGGGCACGGGTATGGCACATCACACCATGACATGGGTAGGCTCAGCACAACATAGGTCGGGCACTGTCACTGCATCCTCAGCAGTGATGTGGCTCCGGCACAGTGCGGCACCAGTACAGCACAGCGTAGCAATGAGCCACAGATTCATAGAACCACTAAGGTTGCAAAAGACCTCAAAGTCCAACTATTAGCAAATCCACTAACCACAACCCTCAGCGCCACAACGTCATGGTAAGCTGTGAATGGGGCAGGTGAGCCACTATGGGGCACCAAACGGGACAGAGCCACTGCAATGGGGCACAGCCCTTGCTATGGGTCAGCAGACAGAGAGGGGAGGGGAGGGGGCACTCACTTGTGTCCCTGGCAGGGGCCGCCACGGGGTTGGTCACAGTGAGGCCCATCCCAGCCAGGCTCGCAATGGCAGACGGGTCCCTGGGCGCCGGTGGGCTGGCAGATGCCGTGCAGGCAGTACAGCTTGCGGCAGGGCTCGCAGCCCGGCACCACACCGGGCGTCATCCGCGTCTTGGTGAAATCCTGCAACTCGTTGTTGATGTAGAGGTTGCGGATGCAGCCGTGGAAGCTGGTGCCGTTGAGGAGCTGCCAGAGGCGGAAGGCGGCTGAGTTGACGTCCACCGGCATCCCTGGGGAGAGCGGGGCTGTCAGCACACACCCAGCCGACCCTGCACCCCCTGTGTCCCACAGGCCCCATACCCCCGACATAGAGTGGGGCCTCGCTGTTCAGCGTGTAGTGCTTGCCCGAGTTGTCCATGGTCATGGGGCTGCCACCATCAATGGAGAGGTTCACCATCTGGTCGAAGGTCACCAGCTCCACGGTGTGGAACTGCCCATCATTGATGGTCTCGGCACTGGTGGGGAGGGCTGTGTCACCAGGTGCGCTCCGTCCCACAT